GCAGGACCTGCTCCTCGTCCTCCCTGACCTTGCACAGCGTCTGTGCGAGAAGGTTCACTGGGGGAAACGCATACTTGCGCAGGCCCCGTGGTCAGCTGTGTGCCAGTGCGTCCGTGCCGAGTGTTCCCTCGGTCAGGGAGTAGAACAACTGGCAGTGAGACAATTCTGGAGAGGCAAACAGGTCTATCTGAGCAGCTCTTAAACGTCTCCAAATCAGCTGGACCATCTGGGGATGGAGTCTTCATTCTCCTGGGAGCGCAGCTCGTCGGCCGCACGGTTGAGCAGACCCGGAATGTGAATGGCACGAAGTGACCTCAGAACCTTCCAACTCCAAAGGAGGAGGTGGCAGGCGAGTTGCGCCATGCGACGGGAGTGCAGACCACCTTGTCTGTTGATGTATGCAACGGTCGCCGTGTTGTCCGTCCGGACCAGCACGTGCTTGCCTCATAAGTGCCCTTTGAGACGGTTCAAGGCAAGGCGCACCGCTAACAACTCTAGGCAATTGATATGCCAGTGCAGCTGGGGGCCCTTCCACACCCCTTACACTGCGTGCCCGTTGTACGTGGCTAAACCACAGCATGCCTGGAGACCTGTTCTAGGGGCACTCCTGCCTGGAGAAATGCAAGGTCTGACCACGGGGTAAAGGTTTGGCGGCAGCCCGGCGTGACTACCGCTGCAGCTGCCATATGCCCCAGGAGCCTCTGAAAGTGTTTCAGTGGGACCGCCGTCCTGCTCTTAAACGTATTCCGGCAGTTCAACACTGACTGAGCACGTTCCTGCGTGAGGCATTCTGTCTGTTCGACCGAATCCAACTCCATACCGAGAAAAGAGATCCTCTGCGTCGAGGAGAGTTTGCTCTTTTCCGAGTTGATCTGAAGGCCCAACCGGCTGAGGTGCGAGATCACCAAGTCCCTGTGTTCGCACAACTGATCCTGAGACTGAGCTAGTATGAGTCAGTCATCGAGGTAGTTAAGAATGTGAACTCCCTGCTCTCTCAGGGGAACAAGGGCTGCCTCCGCAACTTTCGTGAAGACACGGGGCGACAGGGACAACCCGAAGGGCAGAACCTTGTACTGATATGGTCATCCTTCGAACGCGAACCGCAGCAATGGTCTGTGGTGTGGTCTGTAGTGTGGCCACTTCACTGATGTCAAGCGGATGCCGCTGAACTTGGGGGAACTCTGATGGTCCGCAGGAGCCAGCAGGATGGTTTGGGTAGCCAGGCACCCAGACACCATACAAGCTGCACCAGCGGGAACACCGACGTACCCGCGGTGGGGCAGCGAGGTGGAACTCAGGGACCCGGTCCGTGGGCGGACCGAAGAGGGGTCTGAGTGTGCGGTGCAATGCTTAACTGGTTCCACGGTTTGGCAGAGGGTGCGTGAGTAGGGCCTTTGATGATGCTCTCGAACCGCCCGCTGCTGCCTGCTGGCAAGAGAGGAGGATGAGTGTGGTCCGGTGTTGGTCCATCCGTGACTCCCTGTGCCCTCTTGGGACCCAGAGACAGAGAAAACCGCTCTCCTGTCGAGATCTTTTGGAAACCAGACTCTCCACCTGGCCCTTCTCCAGGGGAGGGGGAGGTGCATTCACCATCCCTCAAAGAGCAGTTCCCTTTCTCTCTGGGTCGCCCGTCCCGGGGCCTCTTGCTCTTCCGCGGGGCGGCCTGCCAATGCCCAGCTCCACGGCGCTACTTGCTTAAAGCTGCTGTGGATGCGGCGCGGGAGCGGGGGTTGACGCAAGGGGCCGCCCTCGGCGATGAGCAGGCTGGGACGCTGTGGACGGGTGGAGGCAGCAGCTGCCTGCCGGGACAGGACATGTCGGATCACCTCAGTCTGCTCCTGTGCAGCCAAGAACTGCTGGGCCATGTTCTCGACTGCGTCGCCGAAGAGGCCAGTCTGGGACACAGGGACCTTGTGGAACTGAACTTGTCAGCGTCCCTCATGTCGACCAGACATAGCTAGAGGTGACGCTCCTGGACCACAAGTGTGGACATCGCATGACCCAGAGAACTCGCAGTGACCTTTCAGTTGTGGTTCGGAGCTCTTTCAGAACTTCCGGATCGTGACCACCCTCGTGCAGGTCCCTCAGTGCTTTAGCCTGAAGAACCTGCAGTAATGCCGTAGTGGGTAAGGTGGAGGCAGCTTCTCCACAGGCCACATAAGCATTGCCGGACAGACCAGACAAGTACCTACAGACCCGGGAGGGGAAGCACGGTTTGCCCTGCTGGGTGGAGGCGGTATTAGGACACAACTGCATCGCAACCGACCACTCCACCAGGGGGACCCCCGTATACCCCCTAGCTGCACCACCGACGAGAGTGGTTAGGGAGGAGGAGTTAGCAAGTTCTGACCTGGTAAACCCCCTAATGCACCTCTGGGAAGAATGGCACCAGGGCAGGGCGCTGAGAACCAGCATGGGCCACCCTGAAGAACCAATCATCCAACCTTGAGGGCTCGGGACACGGTGGAGGTCTCC